TGGCAGTTGGAGACAAGAAAGACATCTCTTCAGGTTGGCTTTTTGTCGAGCGATTCATTCCACTGAAGAGTATTGTTCTTTTAGCTTCTTCTTCAACGCAGCCGAAAGGCCGTGGTGGAACGAGGTGGAATTATTCCAGCAAAGCAAATTCTGAATCTGTCTCTCCCATTGCTTCTGCAGGACATATCGGAAGCAATGGATCTGCAACGGAGGCTTTGTTTTTCTGTTTCAGGCAAATCTCGGATTTAATTTGCCCTCTGCCTTTTCGGTAATGCAAGCTCCCGGGGCAAATTAGGTTCCATATAATGAGACATGAGTAGACAGCTTCCTAGCGGAAGTCCATGTCCAGACAGCAAGGCCTAGAAATGAATAACAACACATGGTCCCCATTTCCAGCCTATGTTGACCAAAACAAATGATCAATCGAAATGCAGGAGCCATATAAATAAGGATATTATAAGATCACCACGTAAAATGAGAGAGGCTTAGAGACTTTAAAACAAAACAAAACAAAACAGAGATGCCGCCAGGGCTTGGGTTTAGATGCAAGTTTTGGGAAATGCAAAAAAGTCAACCTTAACATAGGTATAAGCTGCCTTATACAGGGTTATTTGGCTATTTGTCCATCTAGCACAATAAACTTTAATGGACTTCTGGGTCTTGGGCAGAACATCTTTTAACAGCAAGTCTGTCAGTTAGCTTCGTCAGTTAGAGAAAGTTATGTTCATTTTATAGATGTGGGGCATGGCGTTAGAGATTTTTTTTTATGAGGGACTACCCTAAACCCTAGAAATTAATAAATGGTAGGATTTTGATTATTTGGGGTGTGAAAATGACCTGGCCATTAAGAAACAATAGGGGGCCATTGGGGGTCATTGGACAGGCAAGAGAACTGTCCCTCCCCCTTGCCCTGATGTGTGGACAGAGACTTGGTGTGAGGTGACAGGAAAAGAGAGCTATTGAGCAAGCGTTGCTGGAAAGAAGAAGAAGAAGAAGAAGAAGAAGAAGAAGAAGAAGAAGAAGAAGAAGAAGAAACAACAACAACAAAGACTGGGATCCTGGGATCCATCTTGGGCAGGTTGGCTGTAGGCTGGCTGGGAGAGATGCCTTGGACCGCAGGGCTGCTCTGCAGTGGGGGACAAGCCCCTCTTGAAATGACCATGCTGTAAGATCTGGACTCCCTCCCTGCAGGCTAAAGGTGTAAATAGGCGAACAAACCATATTTCTTAAAGCTACAACAATATCCTCCATGTCTCAGTTCTCCAAAGGACCACAGACCCTGGAACCCCTTGGGCTCTTGCCACTGCTTGGCAAAGAGAGGGGGAGACACCCAACTTTTCAAACAATATATATATATGAGTGTTTGCTTGCTAATGTATTTTCTGTTCTAATTTACTTTCGTTGAATCTGCAACTTCATGTTGAAAACAACACATGTTGAAAACAACACTATGGAATATCTGAGGGTCCCATATCCTCCATTTCCCTCTTTTTTTATTCCTGCCCCTCCTCGTTCCCCCACCTGTGCATTTAAAGCCTTGGGGAACAGCCAGTGAAAACAGTTCAATTGCAGACTAATGCAAATATAGTACAGAGAGACAATTCATGATCTGAGTTGAAACAGGGAAGGGGAACATGTGTTCCCTTCCAGCTGTTGTGGGGCTCCAGCTCCCATCGCCCCAATAGTCAGGGATGATGGGGGTGGCCCCCATGGATGCCATTACAAGGGACCATTTTGAGTGGAGCAGGCTTAATGCAACCCTGCAGAGAGACAGCAGCCTTGTTTAGAAAGGAAGCGTGATGGCCGTCCTGTGGCACTTTTGCATCTTTCATGATGTTCCTTCTGCAGAACGTTGGCCGCCCTGAAAATGACCTCCCGGTGTCCTTGGGAATGTATTTCTTCATGCAAGAGTTCTTCTCTTGCTTGAGATGTGTTCCCTTCCATTCTGTTTCCAGCTCAAAAGACGTCATTCCATGTTGGGATCTCCTCGGTTCATCTGCTAAAATGAGCCTGTATATTGTCTGAATGAGACATAGACCCAAACTGGCTGGTGCTGGATTGCAGCTTCCTCCTCCTCCTCCTCTTCATGCTCCAGCTTGTCTGGAGGATTCAGACAGAAAACAAGAACACCGTCAACATTGTACACTGAATAGCATAGCAACCCTTTGCTCTAGCACCACAGTTGGAGGCAGTAAATGATTTCGGAATAGCAGTTGCCGGAAAACGCAAGGGGAGAGAGAGTTCTCGTGCTCAGGGTCCTGCTTGTGGGTTTCCCACAGGCGTCTGAATGGCCACTGTGAGAACAGGATGCCAGACTCTTGCATTTTAGTTGGGGAGGATAGGTTTTAGTTTGTTTTGAATGAAAACTGAGATTCTCCATAACCCTCCCCAACTAAAATGCAAGAGACCGGCCATTAAGATTGGCGAAAAATCTTCTAGCAGGTAAAAGGAATCACGTAAGGGAGGCAAAAACATCTCAGTGCTGTGAGCAATCATCTCTTTCTCGAATCTATTATTTCATCCCTTTGCATTACATTCAGCTGCCTGTTGTTGTTGTTGCTTAGTCGCTTAGCCGTGTCTGACTCTTCATGACCCCATGGACCAGAACACGGCAGGCACTTCCACTGCCTCCCGCAGTTTGGTCAAACTCATGCTGGTAGCTTTGAGAACTCTGTCCAACCATCTCATCCTATGCCGTCTCCTTCTCCTTGTGCCCTCAATCTTTCTTAACACCAGGGTGTTTTCCAAGGAGTCTTCTCTTCTCATGAAGTGGCCAAAGTATTGGAGCTCAGCTTCAGGATCTGTCCTTCCAGTGAGCACTCAGGGCTGATTTCCTTCAGAATGGAGAGGTTTGATCTTCTTGCAGTCCATGGGACTCTCAAGAGTCTCCCCCAGCACCATAATTCAAAAGCATCAATTCTTCGGTGATCAGCCTTCTTTATGGTCCAGCTCTCACTTCCATACATCACTACTGGGAAAACCATAGCTTTAACTATACGGACCTTTGTTGGCAAGGTGATGTCTACCTGTGTAGAAACACAACCCATATTGAGCCTCACAGGATAGGCTTGCACAACATCAAGTGAAATGACATACATGTCATCTATTGTGGCTGGGACAAATTGAAAGGCTCATGGGCTGCATTCAGCTCGCTGTGGGCCCCACACCATGCACAGTGCTCACATCAGTACAGTTCACATCAACCAAGCTGGTGCAATCCAGATGTTCTGCAGTTCATCTCCCAACAGTCTCATCCTGCACAGTGCCGGAGCCCAGCGCCAAACTCATGAATTCACCATTCATGTAAAAGCTTTCCCAACTGGGTGCCTTCCAGATGTTTTCATCTGGAAGCTTGGGGCTGATGGGACTTAAGAGCATAATAATAATAATAATAATAATAATAATAATAATAATATACCCCACCCATCTGGCTGGGTTGCCCCAGCCACTCTGGGTGGCTTCCAACAGATAAAAAACATAATAAAGCATTAAACATTAGTAGTACCAATCTGATACAATATAAAAAGTCACAATAACTTTAAAATAAACAACTTATTTATCTGTCCAGACACTGAGGTCCAGTGCCGAGGGCCTTCTGGCGGTTCCCTCACTGCGAGAAGCCAAGTTACAGGGAACCAGGCAGAGGGCCCTCTCGGTAGTGGCACCCGCCCTGTGGAATGCCCTCCCACCAGATGTCAAAGAGATAAACAACTACCTGACATTTAGAAGACATCTGAAGGCAGCCCTGTTTAGGGAAGCTTTTAATGTTTAAAAGACTATTGTAGTTTAATATGCTTTTGCAAGCCACTCAAAGTGGCTGGGGAAACCTAGCCAGATGGGCGGGGTATAAATAAATTACTATTATTATTATTATTATTATTATTATTATTACTACTACTACTACTACTATATCAAACAAAGCAACATTCAACAATCCATCGGAATCTAATAGTAAATAGTAAAATGAAACATCAGCAATAGCCTGCTGAACGAGGCCAATGGCCCATCTAAATTAAGGTTACCAGACGTCCCCGTTTCCCGGGGACAGTCCCCGGATTTACAACTCAGTCCCCATACAAAATCCATTGAAGTTGAAAAGTGTCCCCGGATTCATTGAAAAAAATCTGGTAACCTTAATCTAAATCTAGCATCCTGTTGTCACAGTGGCCAACCAGATGCCTGTGGGGAAACCCACAAGCAGGATCCGACCACACGGGAGCCTTCTCCTCTCCTGTCGTTTCCAGCAAATGAAATTTAGAAGCATCACTGCCTCCAGTTATAGAGGCAGAGCCCGGCCATCATGGCTCGTAGCCATTGATAGTCTTGTTTTTAATTTCTATGTGTTTTTAACTTGTGAACCACTCTGAGATCTTTTGATGGAGGGTGGTATTTAAAAATAATAATAATAATGCAGAATGCAGCTACTGGGACTCTTGGCATCGCACTAAGCTGGAGCTGCCCTGCTGCCTCTTTAGAGATTACTCTGGAAAGATAATAATCATTTTCTCCTCGCAGCTTAGTAGCCCTGCGGCGATAACTGACTCTTCCCTTCAAGCAGCCAGAATTTTGCAAGTGCGTTTTGCTGCTGCCAGCGTGTTCCAGTGGGGACCTTGAAAGCCTATTCTCTGGGCAGATGGACTGCTTTCGCTGTGTATCGCTCGAGAGCCTGCGGGAATCGGGATGCAAGCAAGAGAAGAAATTGGCTCTGGATGTTCTTTAGCATTCTCCAGAAAGGGAGAGACAGATAAAGAAGCCTGGCTTTCTCTGCCTGACCTAATTTCTCTCCCATGCAAGGGATGGCATATCTTGCCGCTTTGCTGCCTGGCTTCGCCCCCTCCCTGGCTTTCCTGCTTCTTATTATGTACACCAACCTGGTGCCCTCTGGCTGTTTTGAATTATAGCTCCCATTAACCCCATCCCCTGGGCTGGGCCTGGTGGGATTTGTGGTCCAAAGCAGCCGCAAGGCACCAGGTTAGGAAAGACTGATTTAGACCCTAACAGATAGCTCAGTCGGTTAGAACATGGTGCTGATAACACCAAGGTTGCAGGTTCGATCCCTGTGAGCGTGCACCCATATACAGCCCACGTCTTCAGCGCCTGCATGGGCTGGGTGTCGGGAGCACCTTCTCTGACTTTCCAATCACAGAAACGCAGGAGGAGCAGACCAGCATTCCCAAGGAATAGGTCCTGGTGCAGTGGACCCACGTTTGCTATTGTGAGCACCTCAAAAGCAGCAGAGTAACGGAAGCAAAGCTGTGGAGGTTTTGTTGCATACCTAATTGAAATATACTCGGAGTCAAGTGTGGATTTCATGCTCTTTAGTCACCTAATAGTAGTGAGAAATGCCAGTTCCCCCAAAATGTCTGCTTTACATACATTATTTACACAATGGGCCTCACGTAATTGGCTAATTCCGGGATTCTCCTGTAGGCCAATCAGGTTGCGGATTAACTTCCACCTGGAGCTGGATTGGGTGGCTCCTGCAGATCAATCAGACTGCTGTATTCTGAATCCTATTGTTCTAGGACCAATCAGGCTGCTGCATTTTGGATCTTATTCAACTCAGTACATAACACTAATTTATTTCTACTGATTAAACAAATAAAAGAACATAACAAACATGTACGAGAGACAGAGTTCTCTCATACTGCCATCTTGTCTCTAGCTAAATCAAAGAAAAACCGGCACAGTGCTAGGGACGGAAGTCCTGCCCCCTCCTTTCTCACAGACAGAAAGCAAAACAAATATGATCTGGTGATCTTTGCGATGGGAGGGATGAAAATACTGACAAGCTGCATATTCCTCATTGCAGGAGGTTGGACTAGGTGATCCTCAGGGTCCCTTCCAACTGTACAATTCTGTGATTCTATGATTCAGTCACAGTGGTGGAGCCATGCTGAAATGCCCTTTCATTTCACCAACATGTTGTCAGCAATGTCAATTGGGAGGGCAAAAAGACAGGCAATATGCATTGAAATGGGGCAGGGGCTTGTTGGTGGTGGCACCACCAGAGCTTCTCACTGTGCCCCCTGTTTTCTTTTCCCATAATACTTCCAATAAGTAACCTTTTAAAATGAACCATGGAAAGAGAAGAAGGGAAGTCACTGATATCTTAAGGATGTACAATGAGTATTTTAAATTGTAAAGCAGAAAAATTTAATAAAAAATATATTAAAGAGAGAGAGAGAAAGGCATTCACAGGTGGATAAAGGTAAGGGCTGTAGCTCAAGGGCAGAGAATCTGCTTTGCATGAAGTAGGTTTCAGGTTTGATCCATGGCATTGCCAGGTAGGGCTGGGAATACCCCCTGCCTGATACCCTGGAGAACATTGGACCTTCTGCATGTGGAGTAGATGAGCAATGGTCCTTCCTGATGCTCTATCGAGCCCTGCAAACCAGTGCAGGTCAGGCCAGCAGCTGCAAGCTCCATCTGCCTCCCTGGAACAAGTTATCCAGCTGTTGATCCACAAGGACACGGTTGCTCCTGAGACAGGACGTGCCGGTCCTCTCCTCCAGGCTAGCGGGGGTTCATTTCCTGGCTATTGTCATGTCCTCCTCCCTGCTGTCACAAGCAGCTATTAAGCAATCCAGTTACCTGGCAGGAAATAGCTTCTTAGGCTCACCTTGGACTCACCCTGGCGATAGACGCAAGCATCCCGCATATCCGTGACATCTCGGCGGAGGAGGGAGCAAATTGCTTTTCAAGCCAAAGCAATGGCAATTATTAAAAGCATCGACCTGAATGAGGGTCGATGTTTTCATCTGAAAACAAAATCATTCACAATCTGCTGTTTGTTGCCATCCTGGCAAGCCCCCGCGCTGTGATGACTCAATTTGTGTGTGTGTCACTTTCCCAGTCTACTTCCTCGTTCCTTGATGAATTGTGGCTTGTAGCTATCAGTCTGGAAATTCCAGGGAGAGGTAACATCCTACCAGCCAAAGTGAAAAAGATAGAAAAGATATGCATTGAACTTCCTCGAATTGTGCAATACCTTTATCCGCAGTGAGTCTCCTCTGCTTCAGTAGCTCACTTTAAACCCCCCCCCACCAGGTGGGCCATTGGCCTGATCCTGCAGTCTCTTCATGTGTTTTTTGTCGGCATCGCCCTTGAGCCAGTGCCACCAACTGGACTCACACACTTCAGCCCTGACTGGGCCAGGCGAGCTGGGTAGCACTTCCAGAGACCACCTTCTGCACAGGAACAGGTCAAAGTGCTGTGGACTCACAGCTTAGAGTTGTGAGCACCGGATTCTCTCCCACGAGAAGACAGTCGTCGCACAGCAGAGTACAGCAGAGTATAGCAGACTATATAAACAACTTGGAGAGCAGCTCTGTAGAATATCTTCTTTATTCTATCTACAACTATTATACAACTATATACAGAGCTAAATAGGTCTAAGCATAAATAAATGCTGCACTGCACTTAGTGTCTGCAGCTGCTCTTAGCAGCAACCTTATCTATACACACGATCTCTCTCTAACACTCAGTCTCTCTCTCCCTCTTTGATGTGAGGCTGGAATAAGTAGTAGAGAGCAGAAACCGCCCCCTCCTCTCTGGAGAATCAGCAGAGAACATCAGCAGATTCTTGGATATGGGAGGGGTGAAATCTCCTCATTTTTATGTTCTGAGTCCCTTCCACCTTTTTGTGCGATAAGAGATCAGAATCTAATTAACTCTTTTGTTGATTTCAGCATGTTACACAAGAAGATAGAGCAAGTGATGGAACCCCCATTGCCTTCCTTGCTCTCTATCCCATTTATTTTTATTTATTGCATCTATAGCCCACCTTTTTGTCCAAGGAGCTTGAGGTGTGGTGTGTCGTTCTCCCTCCCCTCGTTTAATCCCCACAACGACAACCCTGTGAGGTAGGTTAGGCTGAGAGGTAGTGAGTGGCCCAAGGTCACCCAGTGAGCTTTGTGGCTGAGCGAGGTTTTGAACACTGGTCTCCTGGGTCCTAGTGTTAAACACTAAACCAGGGGTCAGCAAGGTTTACCTCGGCTGGGCTGGTTCGCTCCAGCGGAGATCCTTCTGTGGGCCGGATCGCGTGTGTGCCCGTGATTTCTGGCATCTGCACAGACGCGATTTCCGGCGCTGCGGAAGTGAGTCCCTGCTCCATGCTGCGCCGGCTTAGCACAGCACACAGGGACTCACCAAGCAGGCAGCTTGGTTCGGGGGCGGCTCGTGGGCTGGTTAAATGACCCCCGTGGGCCCCTTGTGGCCCATGGGCCTTAGGTTGCCTATAGGTAAAGGGACCCCTGACCATTAGGTCCAGTCGTGGCCGACTCTGGGGTTGCGGCGCTCATCTCGCTTTATTGGCCGAGGGAGCCGGCGTACAGCTTCCGGGTCATGAGGCCAGCATGACTAAGCCGCTTCTGGCGAACCAGAGCAGCGCATGGAAAGGCCGTTTACCTTCCCACTGGAGCGGTACCTATTGATCAACTTGCACTTTGACGTGCTTTTGAACTGCTAGGTGGGCAGGAGCTGGGACTGACCAACGGGGGCTCATCCCATCGCGGAGATTCGAACCGCCGACCTACTCCTGCTCTAAACTCATCCCGCCATGCAGGCTCTTGCTTGTGCCATACGGAAGGAACACAGCTGAAAAGATTGCAAGGAAAAGTTTCCCCTGGCACTAAAATAAGTGGTTATGAGTGAATGAGGGAGCCCATCTGCTGAGCGGCATGACGGTACCACTTTCAAGAATTGCCTCTGCGGTTAGAAACCCATTAAGTGGAGAAGAATGAAAACAAAACGCAAGTCCCTGGTTGTGTAAAAGAGGAGCGCGTTGCATTATTGTGACAGCAAAAATAGCCAGCCACCTATTAAAACCTATTTCAAGGTGTCCTCTTTTGATTCGAAACCGCCTATGTGGATTCCCCCTCTTAAAACACAACAGATGTGCAAGAACGATTGCAGCCCCCTTGCAAGCCGCCTGCCCGCTTTGGGGATATTGCCTGCTTCTTTCAGGTGTGAGCAAGGTTTATTTACCTCTTCTATCTCTCCTTTGCCTCCTCTCTCCGCTCCCCACTCCCTTTCTCGCATTTCCTGGCTCTCATGCTTGCTTTTGAGCCTTACAGTCCTAGCAATCTGAAACTGTAGTCATGCTCCGGTAAGTCCAGCGGATGTGAGTTTTCGGTGCTGCTTGCCTGAGGGTCAGGCCGCTGGCGCAAGGTCAGTGTGCGAGCCTCTCCTTCCTGCGGGACAGTCTCTGGAGCAGAACCTCCCTCGTCATCCGCTTTTGAAGAACAGGGAGAAATAAATAAACGCACCCCCCACTCTTTCCACCTCACTGTAGATGTCATTTGAAGTCTGGGCACGGATGCTAAGGGTCAGATGATACCTAGCCATGTTTACTCCCAATAGGAGCTGCCTGTGTGCGTCTGCTTTGCCGGTCGAGTTAGCGCACTTCTCAAAGAGCTCAAGTGCATGAGGCTAAAGCGCCAAAATGATTTTTGCAGAGCTGCACTGAAAGGCGATATTGTTAAAACAGGCTGCCCTGCATTTCCCCTCGCTCATATCGTTCCATCTTTCTGCGGGTGAGAAGAAAGGGTTTTCATAGGGCCCTGCAAGTTCCCCTATAGCTCAGGAAGGCTTGCGGTTACACTTGCCACTAAATTAGAGGGTGGGGAATGACCTCTGATGGATTAGTTTTTTAATTCTATAAAGCTGCAGCAATCCATGGAAGGAAACACAAACCCCTTTCACACTCTACCTTTGAAGAGCAACTCTATGAAAAACGGAAAGTAACAGAATTACCAACAATACAGTGGTACCTCGGGTTACATACGTGTCAGGGAACTGACATCGGAGCTAGAGGCGGAGGGGAGGCTCTCAAATGATGCTGGAGAAGGGCCCAGCAGGGAGAGAGGCAGCTCAGCAGATGGGGAAGCAAATCAGTGCAACACCAGAGATAAAGGGGGGCAGATGGGGGAATCGGCGAGAGGGCTCCAGGACTCTTCACCGGACACCAGCGGGGAGAGCACGGGTCCTCCGCTACCCACGCCCTCCCTGCGCAGAAGGCTTCCGCGCAGGGAGAGTAGGAGGAGACTTGGCGTCAAACAACTTTTATG